ATATATGGACTTGATTGTTTAATAACTGGAGCATCGAATCAAGTAGAACGGTTGATGGATGGATGGATGGACGGATGGATCGATCGATGAGAACGGTTGATGGATGGGATGGGATGGGATGGGATGGGATGGGATGGGATGGGATGGATGGACGGATCCGATTAGAACGGTTGTAATGGGATGAAATGGACGGATGGGATGGATTGAGGGGGTTGGGTGGGGTGTATCGAGGGGATGGATGGGTGGGATGCATGGATGGGATGCATCGATGGACGGGATGGAAATATGGGATGGATGGATAAATGGGTGGATGGATGGGATGGATGGGTAAGATGCACGGATAGATGGGTGAATGGATGGGTAGGATGCATGGATAGATGGGTGAATGGATGGGTGGGATGGATGGGTTGGGATGGATAGATGGGCTGGATGGATGGGCTGGATGGGNATGGATGGGTAGGATGCATGGATAGATGGGTGAATGGATGGGTGGGATGGATGGGTTGGGATGGATAGATGGGCTGGATGGATGGGCTGGATGGGTGGGATGCATCGATGGACGGGACGGATGGGTGGGATGCATGTATGGACTGGATGGATGGAGGGGGTGCATGGATGGATGGGAAATAGATAAGATGGGTGAATGAGATAGGTGGGTGCAGTGCGATGCATGGGTGGATGGATGGGAGGGAGAGAGGCCTGGATGGATGAGATATTTGGAATGGGGATGGATTGATGGATGGTTGGATGGATGGGATTGTATGGATGGATGGGATGTTTGGAATGGGGATGGATTGTTGAATGGATGGGATTGTATGGATGGATGGGATGGATGGAGGCGATGAGATGAGATCGATCGATGGATGGATGGACAGACGGCTGGGGATGGCTGGACGGGATGGATGGATCGATGCATTGAGTGCGATGAAATGGATGGATGGGATAGAAGTAACCAAGATGAGTGTGGCGTAGCCTTCCAGTGGGTTTGATTTGTGATTTATCACCGTCTTAACCCGAAACACAAGGCATGTCCGCATAACCTGTAGGTGGCTGGAAAAATGCCCTCAATTCAGCTATGATACCCAATAATAATGACCATTAATTACTGTATGTTCCGAGGAAGATGGTAGAAGAGGTCCTCCTCTTTTTTGTGTCCTGAACATGCATGCAAATGATGGAGAGTGTGTGCATGCCTGATCAGAGTACACCAGATTTTGTTCATGCCCTTCTTAGGAGAGTGTGTTCATGCCTTTTTAGCAGAGTGTCTTCACGACTGATTAGTACAACGACAGCTTGCCTGCCGTTCATAATTTCGATCACAGGATGATATAGACAGTTTCAAGCGCCTGATCACCTAGTCGGTAAACCTTCAGGTCATCAGGCGGTTGAAACTGCCTATATTAGTACAACGATAGCTTGTCTTCAAGGTTTACCGACCAGGCAGGATAAATGACGGAAGGTTTATTCCTTCCGTTGATTGGTTTAGTAGTCCATCATGGATATAGGCAGTTTCAAGCGCCTGATGACCTAAAGGTTAACCGATCCTGCGATGATAAAATCAACGGTGCCCTGCAGTGAAATGAACGGTGTCCTGATCTAAAATCAATCAACGGTGTTGAACTCCAAGCGCAATAAAATGCGTCGCCATCATATTCTAAACAATGTGGTCAAATCGGTTGATGAAGCTCGACACAATGGTCCATCCTTCGTCCTTGCAAAATCATTTATCTAATCTCTCTCTCTCTCTCTACCTTAGTATGTAATCTATCTAAGCTATGATATATTTACCAATCTCTCTCTCTCTCTCTCTCTCTCTCTATCTATTTATCTAACCTAATCTAATCTATGTATCTATCTATCTATCTATCTATCTAACCTAATCTAATCTATCTATCTATCTATCTATCTATCTATCTATCTATCTATCTATCTAACCTAATCTAATCTATCTATCTAACCTAATCTTATCTATCTATCTATCTATCTATCTATCTATCTATCTATCTATCTATCTATCTATCTAACCTAATCTAATCTATCTATCTATCTATCTATCTATCTATCTATCTATCTAACCTATTCTAATCTATTTATCTATCTATCTATCTATCTATCTATCTATCTATCTATCTATCTATCTATCTGTCTATCTAACCTAATCAAATCTATCTATCTATCTATCTATCTATCTATCTAGTTAGCTAGTTAGCTAGTTAAATGCCGAGATAGGCAGTGCAGTGGTAAGATTGAACCAACGGTGCAAGATGAGCTGCATGCTTGGGGCCTCCTCACGGCGTCCGTGCCTGCGTCTGCCATCTGGGGTAAGATCAACGTTCTCTCTCTGCAGACAACGTTGAATTTTACCCTCTTATCTATCTCCTGGTAAATGCCCCCGGTAAATAATGGTAAATCGAAATGTATCCCGCCAGATAGATTTTGTTGAGCTAGGTGGTAAATCGAAATGTATCCCCGCTAGATAGATTTTGTCACAAAGGGGGGTGCCCGAGCGCCCCCTAAAACAGCCCAGATTACCATTATTTACCGGAGACATTTACCAGTAGATAATGGTAAATCTATCTAGTGGGGTACACATTTTATTTACCATGATTATTTACCCAGTGGCATTTACCAGTAGATAATGGTAAATCTATCTAGTGGGATACACATGTGATTTACCATTTTTATTTATCGGAGGCATTTACTAGTAGATACTGGTAAATCTATCTAGTGGGGTACATCCTATTTACCATCATTTTTTACCATCATTTTTTACCATCATTAGTAGAAGCCTTTGAGCCAGATGAGTTGCATATACGCTTCGGTCTCCCCTCTACCTCCCTCAGGCCGTCATCATCCTCTCTCCCCCCATGTATGTCCCCATGCATGCGTCGTGATGAGGTGAATCTACCCGGGAAGGTGGCCTTAGTGCATTTGCCTCTGTCCACTGCCGTCTTCCCCCGATTAGAACTCTCTGCACGGTCATTATCCCTGTATCTCGATTGGAAATTGGCCCAAATGCATTTCCAATCGAGATACAGGGATAATGACCGTGCGGCCAATTTCCATAATTTCCGTACGTTGCATTCAGGCGAAAAAAAACTCGGTGGTAACTATGACACAAAAATTGGACAGAGTCATACATGCCTTCGACGCTGGGAAAAAAACTATGGGACTAAAAAAAAAAAAAAAAAAAAAGGAACGCAAAAATCGAAAAATTGGACAAGTCATATATGGACAGAGTCATACATGCCATCGACGCGGGGAAAAAAAAAACTATGGGACTCGGAAAAAAAATAAAATAAAAAAAAAATGGAACGCGAAAATCGAAAAATTGGACAAAGTCATATATACCTTCGGATGTTAAATGTTGGAAAGATGCAGAGAAGGGTAATTAGCAAATGGCCCCTGCGAAAGGGGATGACACGCGTAAATCGAGAAATGGTCGAAATTATTTATTAAAAAAAAAAGAAGCGCAAGGATGACACGGTTAACATCAAGAAATGGTTCAAATAATTAAATTAAATTAATAGGAACAAAAAAAAAAGAACACAACGTGTCTGACATACTTGTTTGTTTCTGTGTCTGCATGCAGGTTGGCAGACTTTTGCGTTTTGAAGTAAAAAAAAAAAACACAAGGCTATCTCAATGGCGCCCCCTGGCCTTCCACTCCTAAATGACGGCCATGACAACCTGCGGTTTGGATTACCAGCGTTAAAGCAAGATGCGCTGGTCGCTCATCCGGTTGAGGAAATTCAGAAAACGGTGAGCTTTTTTTTTTTTTTTAATAACCAAAAAAATGTTGAGTTTCTTATTAATAATAATAATTAAAAAGAAAAACAACGGTGAGCACCCGCTGTGAAACGATACCCTGCTGCAAAACGTGAAAGAGTTGGTGCTGTTTGTCAAACAAGGTGTGTTGTCATATTCGCTATGCACTAAAAAAAAAACATGATTGTGCCAGACTGTTTCGTCGGACTTCCACCAACTCATCTGCCTGGTGTGTGTGTGTGTGTGTGTGTGTGTGTGTGTGTGTGTGTGTGTGTGTGTGTGTTAAAGGTTTCATGGGGCCAGGTCCAACCAGCAAAGAGGGTTTTGGACTGAGCGCTGGAATCTGGACCTGTTTGCGAAAAGGTGCAGAAGATCACAATTGATCTGCGTTTCTGCACCTCATCTCAAGAACGTCCAGATTCAGGCGTTAAATCCAAAACCCTTTGCTAGGGGGACCTCACCCCTGATGTGAAGTGGTCACTGTCCTTCAGTCTGGAAGAGGAGGAACGGGGAAGAAGAGGAAGGAGGAGGATGAGAAGAAGAAGAAGACGAAGGAGACGAAGACGAAGAAGAAGAAGAAGAAGAAGAAGAAGAAGAAGAAGAAGAGGAGGAGGAGGAGGAGGAGGAGGAGACATAGGTGAAGGAGGAGGAGAGGACTTCCTGGCGTTGCAGGCCGAAGCGACTGTTACAGGCGATTGAGGGGAGGTGATGGTTGCTCAGGTCTTTGACATAGCAGAACTGGGGCGGTGATGGCCATGCAGGTCATCGGCGATGCAGCTCGTTGATGTGCTGCATCACAACTGGAGCGGTACGGAGACCGGGCTGAGCTGAGGACACCAACATGGGGGGGAGGGGGGGGGTCAAATTTGAAACGACCAGTCGCAGACCAGGACTGTCCGCGCTGGAATCCAGACATCCAGATTGTAGCCATGCTATTTGGGTCATTGTTCTGTTCGCGCCGCTTCTGACTTTTCGGCAGTGTTTGGAGATTTTCTGAGTCTTTGTAAGATTCCAGTGAGGTGCGGAATCTTGCTGGTTTGTGCTGCCTTGCATTTGCTGGTGTTTGTTTTCTGGAGTTGGGTGCTGAAAACTGAAGAGTATGGGTGGAGTGTTTTCCTTTTTCTTTCTTTCTTTCTTTCTTTCTTTCTTTCTTTCTTTCTTTCTCTTAAATTAAATGGGTAAGATGTAAGTATGTGTTTTCTGCATTTGCATCTCCTGCAACCACTACCGTCCGGCTAATTGGAGTCGTTCACTAACTTGTTACGGGGCAAACGTCTTTGTGATCTTTGGGTCTGTTTTGCATCTGGCAGCACCATCAAATCGAACAAGAGACGAAGAGGAAACTGATGGAACTGGCCTATGGATCTGCCTTCACCATGCGGATGAAGATTGAAGAAGGGATTCTGTCCAGGTGAGACCGTCTGCACTCCCACAAATCGATGCCGACTCTGATAGTTATATTACTTCATAATCCCTGTACGGTCTTTACCAGAATAGAGTGCCAGGTCATTATCGCTGTATGTAGGCTGAAAGTTGCACCAGGTGAGAGCATGTTTCGTTATCCTCTATGCTTTGCCTTCTCTCAGGCTCTTTTTTTGGCCGTCGTCCTCTCTGCTTTGCCTTCTTTTAGGCTCTTCTTTTGGCCTTTTTCGTTCTCTGTTTTCGCGCGCGCAATATGATAGCATGTTTTTTTAATTACGATTTCTTTCTTTTGCCCGTTTTCCTTCACTGATTTTGCGGTCGAAGCTGCAACGGGTCATCTAGTGTAGGCTGAACAAAAGTTAGCACCAAAAAAATACGGCTATTCATTCATCATTCCCCTAGGCATGACCAGAAACAGTGAATCTACAGTCTGCTGAGTTTTGAAGCCGGGTCTGATAATGACTGCCAGTGTGTTGACTGTGGCAGCGGCTATGCAAAAACTCAGCGGCAGCGGCTATGCAAAAACTCAGGGTTTGAAGCCGGGTCTGATAACGATTGCCAGCGGCAGCGGCTATGTTTTTGTTGGTTCTCTTTGTTGTTGCATAGCCGCTGCTGCTGAGTTTTGAATCCAGGTCTGGAGGACTGTAGATTCACTGTTTCTGGTCGTTGGTCGAGCCGGGTTTGAACTCAGGCCTCTTGACGCTTAGCAGGCGGATGTGAAATCCCAGGGGAATAACATGGGTTCTATTATTTGGGGGACTGTCTGTTCTCCCACGAATCGATGTAGTAAGGTCATTACATCCGTATTTGGGGCAGCTTCCGGACTAGATACGGTGACAACGACTGTACGTTCTATTCGGGTGAGGATGGTACGACTATCAGGATGATCGGTCGGTTTGCTCTCCCTATTGCCTTATACTCTTGAAGCGGAACATGGGCCTCGCATGATGCCCTCCCATGTGAAACTCCCCTGCTCTGTCTTGGGAAAAGGGTGTAGCACAGTGGTGCGCCCAGCGCGCTGCACTGAGGTAAAAAGGGAATGTGTGTCCTGATTCATTGTATCATGGCGCGCATAAAAACAAATTGCATTGTGTTGTTGTAGACGCGGGTCGGGCAACTGTTTAATCGATGCCTTGTGCTGTTGTGTGTTCGGAGGCACTGGCTGGAGATTTGTTTCATTTTGTTGTTTTTAAGGCTCTGCGGGCAGGTTTGTGTATGTCGCCCCGGCTGGATGTTTTCGAATACTAGAAGTACATCACAGGCCCGTGTGGATGCGGAGAAGACACATCATGATGACAGTTAGCGAACAGGTCGAGAGCTCGAATCTGGGGCCCTCACCCCAAATGTTAAAAAATAAAAAATAAGGAAAGAAGGCATGTGATGTGACAGCTAGCAACCAGGTCAAGAGCTTGAATCCGGGGTGAGCTGCTCCTCAAAAAAGTAAGAAAAGGATCTCCCACACCGCCGGCGGGTTTGTGCATGCCGCTCTGGCTGGATCCTCACCATCGACGGGTTCGTGTATATGCCACTCTGGCTGGATTTTCGTTATACAAGTACCTACCTTCTTCCCCCGAGTACAACGTACGGTCATTATAGCTGTATTTGGTGTATCTTTCAGTCTAAGTACAACTATAATGACCGTATGTTGTATTCGGGGGAAGAAGGTAGCAGGGTCCATTTGGGTGCAAAGAAGGCGCGTGGCAGTTGCCGAACAGCAAATAGATCAAGAGTTCGAATCCAGAGGGTCAGATCACCCCAAAAGTAAAAAAAAAAAAAAAACAGGTCGTTGGATTTTTGATCGAGTCTGCAGCGTTTCCATGTTTGGTGCTATGAAGTTTGTCTAGAACCAACCAGGAGTAGTTTGATGGAATCCGCGGTCTGATTCTGACGAAGAATGACAGGGCGTTCAGTATGTACCTGACCTGACTGTTTACCGGATGCACTGCCTCTTGGGCAGGCATTGATTGACATTGACTGCGCTGGTCTGCACAGACTTATTTTTGGATGATGTATGTACCTGTTCCATATGCTGGTATGTCTCTGCCTGTGTCGATCTGCAGATTCCAGCGACCTCCAGGTGCACCGTGTTCAATGCTGGGGTTGGAGGTCCTTACTGGCAGGGTGGAAGACTTCTCATTCGAGGATTACCTTGATGGTGAGTATGACTATGGAGCCAGCTTTTTGCTGCTGCTGCTGCTGCTGCAGTTATTCTTGACATAATGGCGGTGATCGTGCTGTCGACATTGTAGGTGGTGGTCATAGGTATCGTAATTTTTTCGTATTGCGTTGGCTTGACCAGCCAAGGATGGTGACAAATTCAAGAAAGATCACCATGAGTATTGTTGTTGTTGTTGTTGTTGTTGATGTTGATGTTGTTGTCATTGTTGTTGTTGTTGTCATTGTTGTTGTTGTTATGGTTGTGGTTGTGGTTGTTGTTGTGGCTGCCTGTTGTGTGGTTGCGGTTGTTATGGTTAAGGGAGTCGTGGCTGTCAATGCCATTGTCTTCTTCTTCTTCTTCTTCTTCTTCTTCTTCTTCTTCTTCTTCTTCTTCTTCTCCTTCTTCTGCTTCTGCTTCTTCTTCTGCTTCTGCTTCTTCTTCTTCTTCTTTGTGATCATGTCCGTCTTCGTCTTCTCCTCCTCCTCCTCCTCCTTGTCATGGCTGTTGTGGAATGAAAAATATCCAAGTCAAGGCAGCTCGTTCTTCAGCCATGTTTAGTGTTGAAACTGCGGAATTCAAAATTGAATGCAGTTCACTTCAGTGAACCCTCTTGATAGTGGAATCCCCTGGGCGGTCAAGGATGCTATGGCTTGCGGAGTCATATTGTGGGAGGCAGTCATTGGTACTCAAGGCAGTACAGTTTGCCAGCCATCACATCTCTCGTATTGAGATACGTATTGCTCCGTGGATGATCTGATGCTATTCTCATTATTTTACAAAGTTATATGTAATATGTATATACATATATATATTGTCAAACAGAGCTGCCTGGTAAAGCCGCAGGCAGAGAGGGAGGGAGAAGAGAAGAGGACAACAAACGAGGGGCTGTGACAAACTGTTTCGTCGCAGTTTCACTGACTCATCAGGAGGTATATATTGCTCTTTTCTAAACACCACCATACAGAAATCAGCCCATTATGATATTTTTTGAGAATCAGCAACAATTGATTGTCTGCACTATTAGCATATTGTACAATCTTGTCTTCTCCCAAAGACTGACGTCTCCTCATTCATGGAGCGGCCGCACTGCCGCCGCAGGTTCAACCATGAGTGCATCTGACATTTGCACGCTTTCAACTTGACGTTTCCAGTTTGTTGATTTTTTTTTTTTTTTGCGTCTCCGGCTGGTTGATTTTTAATAAAATGCCTCTTTGTTGTCTGTGTTTTGAAATCAGATCCAAGGGAGTCGGAGACAAGGCCACAAGTTGATCTTCACCATGCAATGGAAGTGCGCCTTGGCCTCGCAAAGGGACCTGCTGCTCGCATGTTTCCTTAGAACAAGGCAAATGCTGCTGAATGTGTGCATGCTCATATGGTCATATGGTCTTCTCCTTACTGTACTCGCTTCTCCAGATCGTTTAAAGAGCTTGACATCAACAAAAAACGACAGGTTTCCAGAAAAGAGGGCATGAGCGGGACTGACTCACGATGGAAGGTGTTCTCTTATATTACCTGATTTCAGGATCACAATGGTGAAAATTTTTTTGTTATATTCGTAGGATGCAGTGATATACCAGTCTTTGACCTCTCTCTCTCTCTCTCTCTCTCTCTCTCTCTCTCTCTCTCTCTCTCTCTCTCTCTCTCTCTCTCTCTCTCTCTCTCTCTCTCTCTCNTCTCTCTCTCTCTCTCTCTCTCTCTCTCTCTCTCTCTCTCTCTCTCTCTCTCTCTCTCTCTCTCTCTCTCTCTCTCTCCCCACACACACACACAAAAAAGAAAACAACGTTCAGATCAGAATTATTGACTCTCTCTCCAGTCCGGTGGCCACTCCTGTCTCCCTCACCCCGCCCGGCCTGCACGCGTCCTGGCCTAATGTGCTTCATCTTGTTTGTCAGTTCAATCTTCAAACTGAAGGCCGTGCTACTGGTAGCATCTGCTGAGTTGCACTGTCCTCCTAGTCTGAATCTCACACCGCGAGCTAAGCTGGCTCCTGGCTACACATCCACATGGAGCAATGTCCTTCACTGTAGCCATAAAATCAGTGCCATAGCATCTCATTAAATGGAAGCTTCAAGGAAGGTCCTTGTCTCGTAGTCCATTGGATGTCAGCTACTGCCGTCACCCGAATAGAATGCTCGGTCGTTATCGCTCTATCTAATATATCTATATCTAATCTAAGAGTATAAATTGCCACAAAACGCAGCAGCAATAAGGACCATCCATTCTATTCAGGGGGGAACACTGCAGCGTTCCCTCCATTGGCAGCGTTCCCTCCATCATGCAATGCCCCTTCGTCTGGGACATTCTGTGGTCCCAATCCGTCTGCCGAGTCAGTGTGCCTGACCTGGTCTCTTGGTTTTGAGACCCTCAGTTATGCTGGCTGATGTCGACTGTTCAGTGTGACTGAAATGGAGTGGGGTTCTAGAAGAAGAGGACAAAATCTGCAGGGTTTCTGTGGTTATGAAAGGGCACTTGTTCGTACGCGTAGTTCGTGGGGACTAAGTCTAGGACAAACCGACAAGCCCCGGGAAAGAAATCTCTGGCCCAGAGAGGGGTGGGGGGGTCCGGAATCGAAATCCCCCCGGAACGAGAAATGATCGAGGGTCTAAATGCCACACAGATGAGAAGTTGGACGTGGTGGCCGGCGAAACAGACACCACATCACCCTAGCAGGCTAGCACGCAACGAAGGTAAACTAGGACAGCCAAAAGCGTCCGAGCATGGACTTTGGGACTGAGGTGATGCAAAGCGCAGAGTATGAAACAGAAAAAGTAATCGAACTGCGATTTCGTAAAAGCTAATTTTTTTCTTTTCGTGTTTAAGGAAATTGTTTCTTGGGTTTGAAGTCTTCTGATTTATTTAGCGGTATCCGCAAAGACAGTCAAATTCTTACGTGCTTTCACGCCTTCATGGGATTCAGACGTGAAGCGTCTGTTTATATAGTTGAAAATGAATGATTTTCGCTGTGTTCTATGTGACTCTTTTGTGTTTTTTTTTGGGAGGGAGACACCACCCTCCCAAAACACAAAGAAAGTAATGGAAATCACACCAAAAGTCTACCATTTTCAGCAACGCAGAATTTCATTAAACCACCAGTACATGGCCCTGGGCAACTGGAGAACCTGTTTTGAGCCTCTCTGAAAATTTAGGAGGCTGATCGCCGTAGATAAAATGAATCGGCGGTGGGCAGCAGCCTCCGAAAGGGGCCTGCGGCCAATAGCCGGCATGTGCTGGTGGTTTAAAGTTTAAATCGAAAAAAAAGAAGTTTGTTTTAAATTTTAATGATGAAATGGCAGTAACCTGTAGAGTGAGAGTACGGGACAACAAGTCTGCTGTTGGTCTCATTGAAAAGGACTTGCTGAGATGAACGACCAAACTGATGAATCACTGCTGGAAATGGGGCCATCCCCGAGAAGCGATGGGGTGGAGGAGAAAAAAGGGCGGTTTAAAGGTGATATGCCTTGGGACCAGAAGATGGGCCAAGGGGGGTCTGGTCCCCCCAAGGCATATCCCAGGTTAGGGCTAAAGGCTGCCCTAACCTGGACGGAGGCACTCACAAGTGCAAACTCTCTCCTTGCAGCAACCACGGCTGCAGTGTCACTGTCATGCAATGCTGCGTATGGATCCCCTTGAGACATCGAGCTCTTTTGGGGTACTCCCAAGTTCTCAGCCCGCCCATGCACGGCAGCCATGGATGTGCATCACTACCGTCTTCACCCGAATAGAATGCCCGGTCATTATCGCTGCATCTGGACTTTAAGTTGGGCCAAAAGCAGCAGCTATAATGACCGGGCGTTCTATTCGGGTGAAGACGGTAGCTGTCGTGTATAGGTGCCCTTGTGCAGAGCTTTCTTGTGAGTGGGGTCAATGAAACAAGTGGGGTGGCTCATGAAAAGGATGTGAGTGGGGTCATAAAGGTCTATACATGCACCTTGGAGAGAGAGAGAGAGAGAGAGAGAGAGAGAGAGAGAGAGAGAGAGAGAGAGAGAGAGAGAGAGAGTGTTTCTGGTGTGGTCGTTGCATTTGTCTTGTCACCGTTGGCAAGGTTGGGATGAAACAAACTGACATAAAGAACTTTGGGCAATGCATAATGTCAGAACAATGAATCAGATACATCCGTCAGGAGAACAACTGAAATACACCAATCCTTCACGGACAGTTGGAAGGTTTAACCTGATGATGAGGAACGAGGTGGTGATCGTTTAGCGAAATTATTATATCACACAGCAGACAGCCTCATGCGGTGAAAGGCGCACATGTACTAATTGTTGAACAATTTCCCCATTTGCAACCCCTGCACTACTGGCATCCCCAGAACCTTTTCTGCCAAATTATGTTTGTACATACTTTGCCAAATTATGTTTGTATCGAGCCAGCGTAATAGCTTGTGTACATTCATGATCAGGGTGTGTTGTGTTCGAGGGGAAATGGTATCAGTATCCCCTCGACACCCTTTGTGTTATCATGTTCCAGGTCCCACCTGTGTCAGGAAGCCTCCGTATACTCGCGACGGAATGAGATCTGCATTCTCTGTGACTTGTCCTCATGGATGAAAATCGTTATGAATCAGAAAATGAAAGAGCCAGTGTTTGGTCTTCTATGTAGAGCATGATGTCAAAATCGAACAAGTTAGAACAGAAAGATCTTGTGTAGCAGCTTTTTTTCCTTGGACAAGGTGCAAAATTAATTGGAGCGGGTTGTGCAGCAGCTTTTTTTCCTTGTGTATGCGCTCATCCACGCGTCAGATCTGGATTTTGTCATCGAGCTGGTAAACCATGTGCCAAATTGGCCTGGGTGAACTTTGATATTGCAAAGATTCTCTTAAAATTTAATCAGATTGTACAAGGTGTTTGTAATTACTATAGTTGTATACACAACGGTACCGAGCTGTGTCGTATTCAATATGTCGCCTAAAACCGTCTTGTTTCGACCATGCAAGAAGCGATGACATGTTTTTTTTTTTTTTTTTTTTGCGATGATATGATATTATATGCAGCATTTCTTAAATGTTTTGAACAATGGCGTAGTTCAAACTAACGCTTTCCAATGAAATAATCCATGAAATCCTTCCTATGACCCTCTGCTCTTTTTTTTTAATTTATGAGACACCCGTTTTGGGTGGGGTTTCAATCTTTCTTGGCAATCAATTTGTCTCGGAAAAATCTGAAGTGTAACTAGTCATATCCAAACAACTTCGCTTTGAAAATCATAAAAAAACGTAAGTCCCCAGCTGTGTTTTTATAGGTTGAATGATTTTGTAGTATAATACGACGCAGGCCTGCCAGGGGAGCTGCAAGGAGTACTAGTTGAAGCTACCACGGGTTTCTGCATTGCAAAATGCAACGCTTCTGTTGTGTGCATGTGGGAAACAAATGTGTATTATGCAGAATCGTGTGAGTCAAGCTTTCCGCTTGTCCACCTCGTTTCCATATCCTAGATCATTCCATTTGTCTTCCAAATTGTTTTGCTTTCATACGAGCTTTTCTAAAGCTCAACATGCCTTCCCCCTGGCCCCCTTCATGTGCATACATCCCTCACATACATATTGCACACATACACACGATGCCTAGCCAAATGCATGTGGTATGCACACTTAAACCACATCCTGGTTCATGGTCGTGGTGATCTTCCATGCTCTGCCCAATCTTTTTTTACTACTGAAACTGCAGTAAGTTTGCACCACAAAAAGGAAGAGTAAAAAGGAGGGTGCGTTGTATCTAGGTGATTATGGGTAAAGGTTCCTTGAATGTTATAATGGTAGTGATGTAGTCTGCCTATGAATGGTAGTGATGTAGTCTGCCTATGACTGTTGTCAGGGTGTCATAAAACGTCTTACCCATTTCTCCCGAAATGCAGTGCGTCCTCCTTTTTAATCGCGTATGAGACTATGGGTGTTCTCTGTTCTGTGGTTTGCGAAGTGCGTTGTCCACCACATGGGTCCTTCACTAACCCGCTTGACCCTTATGTATAGGTATACATGACAAAGTACAACCACAACGAAACTAATGCGAGCGAAGCGTGAAAAAAAAAAGAAAGGTGTCGATGTTTGCCAACACAACCCCAATGTGAATGTCAACTTCAGATTTCCAAGTTTTTCTTGATCTCAACCAATGACAATTTCTGTACGGTACACCCAATGAAGAGTGAGAAAGAAAAATAACGTATTATGCTACGTACGCAAATGATTTTATTTGGACGAGTCAATTGATCTGACAAATTTGCTTTCACGACTCTAACCAATCTGACAAATCGACTTCGATCAATCTTATTAATCCTCCCGTTCTGCTAAATTAAATTTGTTTTATTCGATCGACGAATTTGATGTGCTATGTGAGTGATTCGCTCGACCGGAAGGATCGGGATCATTCGATTTAACTAATCGGATTGAACAAACCAAATCTGATAGATGTGAGGAATAAAATTTGACCGAATATGTAGAGAAGTTAAGAAAACACGTACCTTTCATCTCAAGTCGCGCTTCTCACTTTGTTGTTTGCGGGATTTAAATGTATGCTATGATCTTATTCGACGCATATTGCAAAACTAAAGAATAAGCGAACGCATATTGCAAAACTAAAGAATAAACGATGTGAAATTATTGGAATTGTAATGGGAAAAAAAAAAAATGAGACCAAACAAAAAAAGTGTGAAGGAAAGCAACACGAATTTGATTTTTAAAAAATTGAAAAAAACCTCATTGCTTCGCACCTTTATTTTTTCATCAATCAAATCAAAGGCTAAGTAACATAAAGGTAATGTATTGGACTGCAAATCCACGAATGATGGTTCAAACTTTCTTCTTTCTCTCTCCAGATATAATTGAGTCTAGAGAGTGGGTAAGTAAACAAGATAATACGCTGCCGGCCAAATCCAATCATCCCAGCTCTTATCTAGACTGAACCCTTAGCTAATGGGAATTGAAAATTAACGATGGCCCTATGGGATTGAATTCATTGATTGCTCTAGCTTACTGAAACCTCGCGGAGCATAAGTTTTCTTTCCTTCTTTGCTCGATTATGTAATCAATCGCTTATCTTACTTTTCATTTATACTCTTAGTGTGATTGCTATAATATATACTTCCTTAACTACATTAAGACAAATCGATCTAAAAAAGATCATTGCATATTTTTCAGTAGCTTAAATGAATTTTGTCACTATTGGCATGTTTAGTCGGGCGGTCGTTAGGTCACCTATTGTACATAAGCGGATGAAGGGGAAAAGAAAATAAAAAAAATATAAGGTCGCTTTGACATATCATATCTCATAATTCATTTGATATGTTATGTGAGTTATTAGATTCAATCTCATCAATGGACATAAAAAAGACAAGGGACGGGGGAGGGGGAGAGAAGAAAGATAAAAATGTAAATAAAGACAAATATTACAGATTGTCACGTCATTTGGATCAGTACCTCTGGGCCTCATCCCTCCTCCGTGCAAGCACGAATTCGAACCGGCGACCTTGGCCTCAAGAGCCAAGTATCGTAACCACTACAGCCAGGACACGGTGCTCAAAAGCGGAACCATACCGGTCGTGATATCCGCCCCACCCCTGCAAGGCTGTAGTGTCCACACTCGACACACACAACACCACACGGACGCTGACAATCAGCGCACACTTCGCTCCACCTAGCACATGACCCCCATCGGTAGTATAGCCTGGTCACTCATGCGGGACTTAACTGCCCGCCGGTTAGCGGGAGCTTTCCAATGTCATTTGGATCAGTACCTCTGGGCCTCGGCCCTCCTCCG